CAGACTCACAGGAACAAAATTCAGGTCGCTCAGAATAGAGTGCTGAGGATGGTTCTTGATCGTCCTTTCGACACTAGAATAACAAATTTACATGAAGAGGCAGGCATTGCCAAAATAGATTCCAAAATTAACGAAATTAAGACTAAATTTACACAAAAATGTAATTTATCAGAACATGCTTTGATAAGCAATTTGTATATAGTAGGTTAGGTGTACATAGTAGTTGTAGGTTAGTTGTAGTTGTAAATAGTAGTTATAAGTAGTCTCCTTTTTCCAATTCAAATCAAACCAATCCCACCAAGGTGGTCATACTTTAAAATAGGCCTGATAGGACTAGGAACTTTAAATAATAATTAAAATCTCAAATGTACCAAAGTTGAAAAGACGATCTGTGTCACTTAACAAATTCATACATGTAAACCACACAATCACAAGAAATAAAGATCATTTAAATGGCAAAAACTCAGTGTGGTCGAACGCAAGTATTCTTAACTCCCGTGTTTTCGCAAGTTTTTTCTCGCGCGTTGTCGAACGTTTTTTCGTTCAATCCAAGCATGGGTAAACCGGGCCCAAGCGGTAGCCAGAAGCAAGGCGGCAAGCGGCCGGCGGATAACAATGTCGATGCCAGACATACGAAGCGGGTGCTAGCCCTCAACCAGTTCTCGCTGCTCCAGGAGGATGGTGGCGAAAGGCGTGAAAGCGTTGAGAAAAAGGAGAAGTTGCCTCTTTTCTATGTCAAGGGACAGCCACGCGAGCTGCTTGACAATCTGAATGTGCTAGTCCGTAAAGGGCTACGGGCCGAATTCCGTCTCTGCGCTGATGGCGTGAAAATCACCGTCCCCTCGGCGGAACATTATAAACCCGAGGCGGAGACACTGCAACTCTGGAAGGTGGAATATTTCACCCACGACGTGCAGTCGACGAAGCCCTTCAAGGTCATTCTACGCGGGCTGCACGAGCTGGATGTTTCGGTTGTGGAAGAAGAGCTGAAACGCAACAACCTTCAACCCGTGAAGGTTTTCGTGATCAAACGCCACAACGAGGCGATCAAGTATCGCAACCAACTGTACCTGGTGCATTTGGTTGGCGGATCCACAAACATGAGGCAGCTTCAAAGCATCCGAACGCTGCTCAGTGTCGTCGTCGAGTGGGAGCAGTACAAGCCGGTTCACCGTGAAGTGACGCAGTGTACCAGCCGCTTGAATTTCGGACATGGCGCGCGCAACTGCCATATGAAGTCGCGTTGCTCCAAATGCGGCCAACAACATGTCACTGCCCAATGCATCGTAGACATGAAGGACAAGCAGCCAACCTGTGTCAACTGCGGGAATGCCCACACATCGACTAGTCGATCGTGTCCCAAGCGGGCTGAATTCACCGCACTGCGGAAGAAAGCAAGCCAGCCGAGACAGCAGTAAAAGAAGCAACTACCTGGAATCGATCTGGAAAATGATTTTCCACCGCTTCCTCCAACCGAAGCACGCGCACCAAATCCTCTCCTTCCGCTGCTCAGAAGGAGATGCCATTGCCATCAGGAGAGGACTGGAGTACAGGATGCTGCCTGACTTTCGTCTATCGTTCGTGGAAGCCATTGGAGTCGAGCTGGCATCGCCGGATGGTCTCATCACACTCATTGCCATCTACTGTCCTGCCCAATGTAAGGAGTCGGATGGAACAATCGATCGTCTCAAGAATGACATCCAGAAGTTGACTCGTCGGAAGGGTAAGTTTATCCTCGCCGGTGATCTCAACGCACGCCACTCGCTGTGAGGCAATGCAAGAAGTAACAAGAACGGAGCAGTGCTGGCCACGGACCTGCAGGCGGGACACTACGTGGTCCTCCATCCGGACTCGCCTACCTTCTACTCATCAGCCGGTGTCGGATCCACCCTCGACATCGTTCTCACCAACATGGCGGATGGTTGTTCTGAGCCCCGTGCCATCACCGATCTGTCATCCGACCACCTACCGGTGGTTTTCGAGATTAATCAAACCATCAACCAACGTCAGCAGCATCGTAGGCGAAACTATCATCGAGCGAACTGGCCTCAACTCCAGCGGTTTATGGAGGATCGAGTGGTCGAAAATCCTGCGTTAACGACGACGGAAGAAATCGACGGCGTGCTGCAAGTGCTCTCCGATGACATCGGCGAAGCGGAACAACGGTTCATCCCGACAACCCCGGTTTCATGTAAGTTTACCAACCATGATGGTGAGACCAAGCGTATAATATCTCCTAGGAATTGTGTTAGGAGGCAGTTCCAAAGAACGCAAAACGTTAGTAGGAAAGTTTTATATAAGAAATTAAACAAAATTATTGCCATTAGGGTAGAAAAACTTAGGGCAGTTTGCAAAAGACCTTAGTAGTTTACCAAATTACTCTAGGCCCTTCTGGCGTTTAACAAAAGTGCTTAAAAACAAACCAAAGCCCATGCCGCCTCTTAGAGTTGATAATGAGGTTCACATAACAGCCGTCGAAAAGGCGAACTCCATTTCTCAACATTTTATGGCTTCGCATAATCTGGGTCGAGATATTGTCAGCCCGATGGAGGGTCCGGTGTTTGAGAGCGTCTACCAGCTAGCTACTGAGCCTAGCGAGCTTCCGGTGGACCGGAAAATCACACTTGATGAGCTGGTGAACACCATCAAGTCGACGAAGAACATGAAGGCACCGGGTTTCGACGGACTCTTCAACATTGTCCTGAACAATTTGGGACCGAAAGCGCATACTCTTCTGGTGAACGTCTTCAATCGGTGTCTAGAGCTTGGACACTTCCCAGCTACCTAGAAACGGTCCAAGGTGGTACCGATATCGAAGCCGGGAAAGGATCCTACCAACCCGTCAAGCTACCGTCCGATCAGTTTGCTTTTTGGTATTGATATTTGAGTGGTGGGGAGGGGGGGGGGGGGGGGGGTAGGAGAGATTGTTGATGGGGGGGGGGGGAGATTGTTATGAAAGGGGGAGGGGATTGTTAAGCGGGAGGGGGTTTTACATGCACGTTTTTTTAAGTCTCATTCCTCATTATGGTGGACACGCCGTGATCCTCCTTTAGCCGCTGACCTAGTCCTGCTTGATGCAGGACCTAGTGCCACGCCGGCCGAGCATAATGGTAATGAGCAGAGGTCATGTAGCGCTGATATATATCTTTTCAGGTTCAAGCAGAATGATGTGCAACCAAGTGGTATTCGTTTATGATGACTGGGTTTGGGAAAAAGGCTTATTTCATGAAATTAGTGATAAAATTATCATTTATTAATTATTAATTATCATAAATTACAGAAAAATTGGAAAAATATTTATTTCAACAGGTTTGTAATGTAAAATCCTAACGATTGGCGTGTTTGGATTTTAATTTCATCTATAAATGACAAATCACACATATTTTTTGATTTGCACCCCAGTATAGTCGACAAAGACGTAGTTCTACGTCAAAAAACACTGAGCGTTAGGATCAGTTTCGTGAATTGACCACTTCTACGGATGTTTCGAATTTTTCAGAAGACCATTACGTGATCCCCAGGGTAATATTTCAGTCACAACTCCAAATTTACTCTAATAAGACGTTTATTAGTGGTTTTTACAAAATCACGGAGCTCTAGGATAAGTTCCATGAAATGACCACTTTTACGGATGATCCGGGTCTTCCTGGAGACCAAACTTGCGACTTTCCGGATGCAAAGTTTTCACAAAAGGTGATCATCTATCTTGTTATTAACTTTTCAGAAGACACCAGGAAGTTATATCTTCTAATTACCCTACAATAAGAGTTTGTCCCCAATTAGCTTTAATTCCATATGATACGTGTATTCGTTAATACCGGTTCCTATAGAACGGTTAATAGGGACTGCACTTTTACGGATGTTCCGGATCTTCCGGTGGATCATTCCGTGATCTCCAGTGTCCATACTTCAGTCTCAACTCCGAATTCATTCTGATAAGATGTCTAGGAATGATTTCGAAAAATCTGCTGAGCTCTAGGATCAGATTCATGAATTGACCACTTTACGGATGTTCCGGATCTTCCGGTGACCATCCCGTGGTCCTTTGGGTCCATATTCAGGGTCACAACTCCAAATTAATTCTGATAAGACGTCTATGAGCGGGTTCGAAAAAATCGCGGAGCTCTAGGATTAGTTTCTTGAATTGACCACTTTTACGGATTTTCCGGGTCTTCCGGAGGATCAGATTCGTAACGTTCCAGATGCTTATCCGGATTCCAAAAAGTGGCAAATTTTCTGTTTAATAACTTTTCAGAAGACACCCGGAATTTATCTCTTCAAATTACCCTACAATAAGCGTTTGTCCCTAATTAGCTCTAATCCCAAGTAACAATTTTGGTTTTATGAGGGTTCTGTAGACCATGATTTAGACTTGTAGAATACTATATAACCGCGATAAAACCTGCAATGTTACTTGGGATCCCATATGCTACGTGTATTCGTTAATGCCGGTTCCTATAGTGCGGTCCCTATTAACCGTACTATAGGAATCTTGACTGTAATAGCTCATTTTGCTATAGGTTTGATCTTCCACAGCTCAAAGAGCTTTGTTGTTGTTTTGATATTACAACAACTTATTTTGCTGTTATTCAGTTAAAGTCCCATGGCTTTTCAGTTATTATTTCAGATATTTTAACTCTTATTTCGATCAAACCAATAACAAATTGTGATAATCTGATATTCTGTCTTTAATAGTAAAACTTGCTATTGGTTTGATATTCTCTTCTACTCGGGTGGGTGCAAGCATGGTATAATGACGTAGTATATTTTTAACCAATTTTAATCCTCTCCTCACCCTCGTAGCGTATTTAGTTATACCACGGCCGTTCCCAAGTAACTATTTTTGTTTTATGAGGATTCTGTAGAGCATGACTAGTCTTGAAGACCTTGGCAAAACAACGTTGCTTTAGTTCACAACTTCTGCAAAAGGGAGGGCTAAAATGCTCCATCGTTTATCAATGGTCCCTAATGAGAAGATTGTTTGAAGTTGGGGCTTTGGTAGCTTTTCAGGATCCTACCTCGAAGGCAAGAAATTCTAGATACATTCGTAGTGTTCTCATACTTCAAAATAAACTATGCTTTCCAACACATGACGCCATATTCTTACTTTGTAAGCTCATTACAGTGCCATCCAAAGAACCGCAATAATAAGCAAATGACTTTGCATATACAGCACATTCCCAGTATTGTGCACACTCAAAGTGCATCCCAAAAATAACCCTCTAATAATTTTCAGCTCGCTTCAAACAACCGTACCGCAAGTAGGTATGCTGAGAGGCGGGAAGTTTAGTAGAATAAATCTGTCTCATGCCCATCATCAATTTCTTTAATTGGAGCATACATTTGACTCTACTATAATGACTACAATGTCGGCTGGCAGGGAAGTCGTGCTTATTCGTTGATTGGTTCGTTGAATATTTCGCGTTGCCGGATGATCGTTTTGGGGGTTTCGGCTTTTCAAACGAGCATCGGGTATAGTGGCGATAATTAAGCTGTCACCTAAATGGAATAGTTCGAACCAGGTACATGGGATCACTGCCAGCACAGAAAGCGGACGGAGTTTTTTTTTTCGGGGGTTGAAATACGAAAGCAAGCAAAGTAAGGTGAAATAAAAGAGATAGAAGGTTATGACGGATGGTCAGAAATCGGTTTTTATTAACAAAACGAATATAAACAGTATTGGGATGTACAGACCGCGTCAATTTGGTTCGTGTTTGTGGAAAAATCAAGAAAATCAAAATATCTAATCTAAGCTAGTCTGTATGAGTGTGTGAGAGTGTGTGTGTGTGTGTGGAAAGTATTCGAAAGCTTTAAACTAACTAAATCGGTTGTTACAAGCTGTTCTTATTGGTGTCACCATGTGTGGTTGTGCGTCTTGGGTCGCTAGCACTATCGGAACTACTGAAGTCTGCATCTGAAAGTGACGGTGCCTGTAGTGAGGTCCACGCAGACGATAACGACGATCCTGGTGTTGGTGATGACGACGGAGGAAGAGGCGATACAGACCGGCTCGGTGGCCCCAGGATCAATCCACCGAGGTTTCCGATATCGTAGGCTAGCTCTTCTGGAGATAATGGCGTTACTTGCGCCGATGGAGTCTGCAGCAAAGGCGTTGGAGATCGGCTTCGGGTTTCAAAAATCAGTCCATCGAGGTGACCGATATCGAAGATTACCTCCTCGGGTGTCATGTTCGGTGGGATAGGCGATACAGTTGGGGATCGTGATGGGATGTGCAGTCTTAGTGATGGATGAGGTGAGAGCGAGTGTGTATTTGGAGTTGGGGACGTTAGTGAGGGGATAGGAGATGTGATTGGAGTGAAATGTGTTGAAGGAGATGGTACGGAGTTCAACAGTGGGGATCCCATAGCCATTGAAGAGGTGTCGGGTGCAGACGATGCAGACGTCAGCGAGATGTCGGAAATTTGCGATGCTGGTGAAGGAGTAGCGTTCGATGGTTCTAAGTTTAACGGAAACTCGGTCCGATTCTCCAGAATCTCTTCCGGCGGTACTGCCGGACTAAGCGATAAATCTCTCAGAGGTTCTGGCGATGGAGTGATGCAAACGGATACGTCAACTGGGAGCTTGGCAAGGTCTGTTTTTGGTTCAGGACTCTCAGCCTTGTTCCCTTTCACAGCCTTCGATCCATTGATGATATTCTCAACCTCCTCGTCGTCACTGTCGTAGTCTTCCAGTTCCAAATGACTGGTCATGTTCTCCGGAAACTTCTTTATCCACTCCACGTAACTAACTCGATGGTTAACAACCCGTCCGGGATCTTGGTGGTTGTTTCCATAGAAAGACTTTGACGATATTGAATCGTGGAAACGAGCTTCAGCTCCTTTTTCGTCCGTAACTAGTAAACTAGGAACGCCAGATGTCATGGGAGTGGTCGGAATAAAATAATTTGGAGCGACGGGCTTAGGTGGTTCGATCTTGATTACATCCATACTGTTGATGTAATCTTCCAGTTCCGAAGGAGATACGCTCACCCGGCATTCGCTGAAGCTATCCATGAATGTTTGATCGAAGTTGATTGGTGTGACACTACGAACGGCTCGTTTTCTGATACGGAATCGTCTTGGTGGGGCTGGTTTTTCTGCATCCGGTGAGGGACTGGCTGAACTCTTCCGGTCGACACCACCAGCGTTAAGATCGACCGACGCCGCAGCATGGTGCTGTAGTGGTGGTGAGATTGGTGGTGCTGGGGGTGCTTGGTCAACATGCAAGTCTAGACTAGCGGTGGAGGCATCGGTAGAAGCAAGAGAAACACTACCATCCCTACTTACATTTCGTTCGGATTGGACGGGAGAGGATCGGTCACTTCCATGGGTATGGCAAGGTCCGTCCTTGACGTATTCGTCCTAAAATTCGAGATAAGATATTTTAAACGTTATCGATACGTACGAGCGACTAGAGGAGGAAGTAGGGGATCGAGTACTCACTACGATTGAAGAGACGGGAGAGGCCGGTGATCCGGATGAAGCGATCGGTGCAGGAGAGATGGTAGCGTCGCGCGAGAGAGCCGATGGTTGAGATCCAGTCGAGGACTGGCGCTGCTCCTGAGAGGATGAATGCTGGTCTTGGTCCGGAGTAGGGGATTTGGAAGGTTCGTGTACTAGAGGGATCAGTTGTCCGGTGGTTTGCAGGTGCTCATTCTCCAGGAATGGTCCAACGAAAGGGGACGGAGATTTGGATTGCTTGAACTCAATCTGATTGCCGGATGATTTAGATGAAGCGATCGGTGCAGGAGAGATGGTAGCGTCGCGCGAGAGAGCTGATATTTGAGATCCAATCGAGGACTGGCGCTGCTCCTGAGAGGATGAATGCTGGTCTTGGTCCGGAGTAGGGGATTTGGAAGGTTCTTGGACTAGAGGGATCAGTTGACCAGTGGTTTGCAGGTGGTCATTCTCTAGGAATGGTCCCACGAAAGGAGACGGAGATTTGGACTGCATGAATTCAATCTGATTGCCTCCTTCCGAATCTGATTCTTCGGTTTGAAGGACCACACCACTGAAAGCCTCGGATTTACGTTCTTCTTCCAGTAGCAGTGCTGTCAGGTCACTTTTCTTCCTTGTTCTTTTCAGCGTTGGATGCTCCAGGTCGGGACTGTTGGAATGGGAACTAAGATTCGATGGGAAGGATTCGCTACTCGTTAGGAAATGCTCCGTCTTGATTTGAGGTAATTCAGGATAAGTGTTCCGTGGGCTTTGTTGCCATAGAGGCATTTCCTCTATGCTTTTCACTAGGAATTCGGTATCCTCGAGAATACTACTGTCACTGTCGCGTGATTCTTCTTGTATTGCGAGATCCTTAGGTGGGTGAATCAACGTCTTCTCCTTAGTCTCTTCGAGCTTGATATCTCCCCAAGGCCTGGTTACATCTGCTCCCAACGAAGGCTCGGGTGATCGTTCCAACATCATTCGTGCCCTGCTATCATCCTCATGCATCTGACACAGTTCCTGTATTGGACTGATCATGTGCTTCTTCATTTTGGGTTCCAGATATTCCTCTCTATTGTAAACCAGCGGTATATAGTCTTCCATTGTGTTTGCTTCATCTGCCTCCATCTGCGACAGAATCTCCAACTCATCGGTCCGGTCTTCGGACACATTCGATGATATGGATCGTTTCTTGATCGTTCGTCTGAATTCATCATCCCGGTGGATTGGACGGAATTTGCTTGATCCACGCCGGGGATCGTCGTCATCTAGCACTATCTGCGGCACATCTCGAGCTGAGCTGGATGACATTCGGGAAGTCGTTGGTTCCGGACTTGCCGATCGACTAACCGACTTCGAGCGTAGTTCATCGATCACATGCTCCCGTTCCACTGACTTCCGTTCCAGTTCCTGCAGCTTCACGTTCAATCGATCAAGAGTCTGATCTTTTTCCTGACTCACCCGCTCCAGATCCTGAATCCTCACATTCAGCTGATCCAATTTTGATTCATCAAACTTTTCCACTCTGTAACCATCCTTATACGGCACACCATCCTTTGCTATAGTCAACCCTTGTACCGGACTCTTCGGTGTCGTCTCTATTTGGTCCTTCAGCAGCTGTCGATACCGCTCAAGGTCTTGATCCGCAGCGGCTGGTGGTTCCGTCAACTGGTTCGACACATACCCCAGGCAGGTGATCAAATCCATGACCCCAACGCTGGCCACTAGAACCGACAGGAAAACACCCATTGTAGAGCCTATTTCCCGGTTTTCACGATTCTTCTCGAATTTTCCGCTCAATTATATAACTACAAGCAGTTGCACAACCACACAATCTAGATGCTTCTAAAAGCCCTAAGAAAAGCAACTTTAAGCAATTCCTACACGGTCACGATCGTGCTCTAAGAGCAAAAGCTTGTCATGATTCCCAACGCCTTTCGAAACTCCAAAATTGCTTTCTTCCGGTTTCTCTAATTTTCAGCTGCTCTCCGCCAGTCTTCGGAAGCGGTGTTCAAGAGGCAGCAATCAGTGCTAATTACCCGGGCCGACGACAAAAGCGAACTAATGGTTGCATTCAATCGAAGAGGGATTAAACTAATCGACAATCGGCATGGGGTTTCGAGCTGTTTTACGATCATCGAGGTGACACCGATCGGTGTGCTGAGAATGCACCAATGCACTGGGCCGTCTTGAAGGAGACGTGTTCTACTGTAACGCAAAATAAACAAAAACTCGTCAACCGGTCACCGTCGGTTGTTGTCGTTTTCGGGAGCCACCGCTCGAGTGAGTCAGTCGTCTGGGTTCTTGTTTTAGCAGCAGTGATAGTAGTATTGATTCAACATTATTTTTATGCTACTACTGCGAAGCATCGGGCAGGGAAAGCAACGACGTCGCAAGTCGGATTTTCGGGTGTCAAGTGCGAGGACAAATCACACGACATTTGAAGCGATAAAGGAGAATGGGCAAATATGCCGTAAGACGATAAACAAATACAATACCAAGTCAAGTGCTGCTAAATGAACATTGAACATGGTCCCATTCGTTATCGTGGTAGGTAAATAGCAACAAGTGGTACTCCGGCGTGGTTTCCCGTGTGAACTTGATTGTTTTGTTTAATCTATATACTAACAGGGACTCCGGAAATCTTGTATTGATTGTGATTCTGGAAGTCTGGTTGGTCTATTTTTGGATGTTAAGCTGGTTCATGGTGTCTAAGAAAGTTGTATAAAACCATTATCGCTTAAGCAACCACAAAATCGAACCTCTGTGATTCTGGACAATCCGGTTTTCGCCATTAATGTTAACAGGTAGAATAGCATTGTGGATGACTAACTAACCCGTTTTGGAGAAAATATCGTTTGTTAGTATTTGTGGGAACCAACGCAAAAATTTACACACCGTAGGAAATTTGTTCTCATGCAAAGGTAAAGGAGTGACCAACGTTTTCGAACACAACTTCAGATCAGACGCAGGAATTCCGTCTGGGTCAGCAGCCTAGGAGAGTTTCAACCTTTGAAGAGTCAGATTGACGGTATATTTATGGACGTGAAACGGACGGAACTCAAATGCATCTCTTGTAGCAATTGTAACTTGATTTGGTGAGGCCGTGGTTTTATTGAATGAATTCACTACATATTAAAGGGATGGCACTTCTCAGGATCAGAAAGAGCGATTTGCTCACCGAGATAAACTGGCCATTGCAAATCGATTTTGTTATTTGTTTACCTCAAATATTACCAGAAACGATGCGAAGAGATGACTGCGTATGGAATATATACCTCCGATACAGGAATCTGTTGTATTTACTACAGGTTAGTTGTACCTGTTTTAGCTATACGTTCCTATTAAGGTGTGTTCCCATGATTGCCTATAGGAGTTCCATAGGCCTTAATTGGAATACACCATAATAGGAATGTATAGCGATAACTGGTACACCTACCCTAGTCATTTAATGTGCTTTTAAACATCTGTACAGAGCTGGTAAATATCACGGTCGTCATGTGACGATGAGAAAACAGGTACTCTCACTATCACGAGACGAAACTACCTATCATTAGCTTTCTTGTCATTTTTGAATGATCAAGTACTCATTTCTAACTGATTTAGATGAATTAAAGCAAACAACTGTATGTAATCGGAAGAGTGAATACAAAATTAAGATTTCCTCGGTACATGTAACTTTAATAGCATTAAATGAGCTAGTAATAACGATCATCACAACACTGTCACGTTCTGCCATGACAAAAAAATCAATGAGATTTTGAAGAAAATCTCTATCATCGTTTTCTCATCCAATGATAGTGACAGAAAAATTTCTGTAAATATCGCGTGAGATCTTTCATTGAAAATGACATTTGCCAGCCCTGCTTCTGCTTAGTTATGTAAGAAAGAAAAAAACAACAACAAACCCCGAACACAATTCTGAAAGACCTTGTAAAAGGTCACCAATGGTTTTTTTCGATCAGTTTCAATGATAAGAACCATTTGTAAACATATTGGCCAAATTCGGAAATGGTCCCCGAATGGGTACTCACAAGGAAGTGACCAGATGTGTTTTGAGCTTACGACATTTTTATTGCAATGATTATAATTATAATTTTAACCGATGGTCATAGCCTACTTTGTTCATAGTCTTACGCTTGTCTGTGCGTCGAACCGATTTGTGCAGTTTATCAAATATGATATCATAAAACATAATTTTTCGCTGACTTCCGAAAGTTTTCGAAACATAGGGATATGAACTTTAAAAAGCTAATGAAATTTCCTTTTAATTAATGCTAAATTGGATTTTTTTTAATTCATGATTGAACTGACGGTTGAGAAAACATAAAAAAAAGCCTTGCTAATTTTATCGATCGAAAATAAACTGAGAAATCCTGCCAACATTTTTAATTTTGGTTTTGGTATACGATGAACACCTAAATTAAAAAATCCCTGCGCTTTGGTCAGATATGGTGTAGGGCGTTGTTGTGCCAATTTGGTCGTGGCACATTTCGAGTATAAGAGAGTGATTACAGTTTGCTCAAAAGTGCCTGCGTAAAATGCAAGTACTTTCGATGATTACCCGTAGTTGTTACAGTGAAGATATACACCCATATTCTCGTTTATGTCTGGACGTGTTTGCCATACAGAAACATTTTTATTTGATTTTGTGTGGTGGATGGGTTTCGGGCGTGGACGGGCATATGGGTGATAATATTAAGTTAACGTTAGGATAACGTTGAAAAATTGAGAAATGTATCGCTTCAGTTTGAGAAGCACTTCACTTCGCAACCGATAAACCATTCTGACGGCCCACATTACCGTGCAGGTGCCATGCGTTGGCAGGGTCCAATGTGGGAGAGCTTGATGTTTATGAAGTACTATCAGTTAAAACTGTATTTTGAGCTTTATCTCTATACATTTTAGGTGTTTCTTAGCAGATTATCATGTTGGTGTACACTGATTCAAAGAGTAAATGGTATTAACATTGAGTTGTCCATAGTTGGGCGTTGCTGAACTTGTAGTACTTGCAAAACATTTCATGTGAGCACCAAAGTAACCATATAATCACAAAATAACTTTAAATGTAGGTTCAGAGTGAGACAATGTCACTGAGCTATGGTTAGCTGGGTATTCAGATGAAAATATTACTTTAAAAAGCTAATCCTACTTGCATCTCCTTTTCGTTTGCCTGTAACACTGTTTGATATTATTATATTATGATATTATTGAGGGGTACCATGAGCCCCTTCTCGGAACGAGTGTATTGTTGATGGACCTGGTATACGATTCAAGATTGGTTTCTATGATGATAAGTATCACGATCTTCATTGAAATTTAAGTATTATTGACAGTAATCATAACAATCAACTCGTATATACATTGAAATATATATACAAAAGGGAAGGGACGCTCCAACAGGGCACCCGATTGAAGCGTATTGGACGGGGAGAGTGGGAATGCCAACTCCCTTTTGATAACATTTCGTGGATAAAGGGCGGGCTCTTCTCCCCACTCATAGGGGCATCTTTTCGTTTGGGGGCTTGTCTTTTTGACCATGGCTGATCAATTTGTTGGAAGGAGATTCTTTACTGTTCCGTAGATGCGAATAGACGACTTTGGCTATCGATCTACCCAATCCGTTTTTGGCCCTTCTTACAGCGACATGTTGAGGACAATCAGAGGTTATTAAGCTTGATCAAGACAAACAGAGAAGAGAGCCCACTGCTGTCGGACTTAGTTTCCGTGCTACAATGGGTTGTAAACCACTATCATCACTATCATCATCACGATGAACACCTAAATGAAAAATAAAAGCTAAATTAAATCTAACATTAAATTTTTAAACGGAAAATAAAATGCGCCTAAGACAGTGTAATTTGGCTAGCACTTTTCGTATTTTTGTACTCTGAAATTCTAACAAAAATACATTTCTCCACCGGCTGAAAACTTGAATTTCCCAATAGAATTTTATAAAGTCATAATCAAAATAACCGTACAACTTGATTTTTTGTTTCAATTATGTCCGACCTCAACCCACTTTGTATTGATCTACTAGGATTTTGGAGTAGGCAAGCAATAAAGGGCGAACACGAAATTATTGCGACACCGAAAATGTCATGCCAATTTTCTTATAATGTTTAGAATCAAACCAAAATTTTAGGGTAGTTTTATACATATATTTACTTCAAAAATCAAAAGAAAAGTTAATCGATGGAGCCTTGAGTTTAAAATTGAACGCATTTTCGCTTGATGCCCTCCATCAAAGTCTTTACAGTGTCATCCGGTACCAGTTTCTCAGTTTTTTTTTTCCATTTTCTTAACATGTCCTTCTCGTCTTTGACTGTCTTCTTACTCTTCCGAAGTTCCCGCTTCATTATTGCCCAGTACTGCTCCACCGGGCGCAGCTCCGGACAGTTTGGCGGATTCATGTCCTTTGGAACAAAATGGACAGAATTGGTCTCATACCACTCCAGGACACTTTTAGAATAGTGGCATGATGCCAAATCGGAGCTTCGTCGTGCTGCTGCAAGAACGGCAAAAGGCGCTTCTCGAGGCACTCAGATTTGTAGATCTCGCCATTTACTGTGCCCTTTGTCACGAAAGGCTCACTCCTCAGTCCGCAAGAGCAGATGGCCTGCCAAATGAGATATTTGGAGGCGAACTTCGACATTTTCTTCTTCTTAAATTTGTCGTCCACATCGAACTTGCTCTTGCCGGTAAAAAAAATCCAATCCCGGAATTTGCTTAAAATCGGCTTTTATATACGTTTCGTCGTCCATCACACAGCAGCCATATTTTGTCAGCATCTTCTCGTAGAGCTTCCGTGCCCGAGTTTTAGCCGTCGATTGTTGCCGCTCATCGCGGTTTGGGAAGTTCTGTACCTTGTATGTATGTAGTCCAGCTCTCTTCTTTGCATTCTGGACGTAGCTCTGCGACATGCCGATCTTTTTAGCCAAATCACGGCTTGAGACGTTGGGATTTGCTTTAAGCATCCGCTTCACCTTTCCCTCCGTCTTTTTGTTCTCCGGTCCCGGTTTTCTTCCAGCTCCTTTGCCGTGGTCCAACGTTAACCGCTCCTGGAACCGCTTCAACACTCTGGAGACGGTTGAATGGTGAATGTTCAACATTTTTCACAACTGCCGGTGCGACAGGTCAGGAAATTCCAGGTGTTTGGAAAGAATTTGTTCTCTCAACTCGCGTTGGTTCACCTCCATTTTCGTTGAATCGAAAAACACGACTTCGAGTTTGACAGCATGTACACAATACACATCAATGAGAAAGTGTGCAAAATTTGGTTGATTTTTACCCAATGGTAAAAAAGTTATGCCCTGTTGAATGTGTCGCAATAATTTCGTGATCGCCCTTTAGGTACATACACTTCCAATCAAAAGAGTGGAGTAACCTACAAAAAAACATGCAAATGTTTATTGTTCATATCTCTGCCACTTTTCGTTCAATTTTCATTAACTAAAGCTAATTTAAAAGGTATTGAATGAAACTTACTACGTAGGTTTTTGGTTCAGTATATTTTATGAATTGCATATTCCAAAATTCCCACTGAATAATCATAACTGATTTTCTCAGTATTACTGTTGTAAGTTTCAGTGAAATTTTATAAAGAAAAATGAAAAAAATTATATGTTGAGCCACATACAACATACTTAATATTGGACGGGAAATCGCATAAATAAGAACACAAATTATTTAGAGGTTATGTTTTGAGGGAGACCCCAAACTTTTGGATCACCATACTGTGGGAGTGACTCCAAAATCATAATCAAGGGCTTGAATCACTATTTTATTGATTAACAATATTTTCTAAATGTGTCCAATAAGTTGTCATTACCTGAA